ACTCCCAGAATTCCCCAGCCAGCAACATGGGGACTTCGACTCCCAGAATTCCCCAGCCAGCAACATGGGGACTTCAACTCCTAGAATTCCCCAACCAGAATTGCTGGCGAGTTGAAGTCCACGCATCTTCAAACTGCCATGGCTGAGAAACACTGATTTATTTACTTTCCTAAAGGCAGAGGAGAGAGAAGCACCCTCTTTTTTAAATTTTAAAAATAAATTTTATTAATCATATTTTTATCATTTTAAATAATTTTTTAATAATAATATAATAATATTTATTATTATTATTTTTTTATCACATTTCCACTCATTACAGCGTTTCAATATTGGTGTTCACTCACATTGACATACTATCAATTATGTAGGTTGCTACTATATATTATATATTTGTTTTTACATTCAACATAAATTGAATATTTACATGCTTACAAACAGTATTTATCTCAACTTACTATAGCTTCTACATGCCCTTCATTTATCAGCTTTGCGTCTACCTTCCAACCAGTTGTACCATAAATTCCAAATCTCATAGTACTCCGTTTCTTCTCTATCTTTTAATTCCATTGATAACCTATCCATCTCTGCACATTCTAAAACCTTTTTTATAATCATTATATCAGAAGGAGTGTTATCTTGTTTCCAGTTCTGGGCAAAGGTGATTCTGGCTGCAGTTATTATATGAAGTATTATGTATTGTAATTTTTTACAAATATTATCTCTTAATATACCCAATAAAAATATCTCAGGTCTCATCTTGATTTTTTGTTTTGTGATTTCTTCTAGCCAATTCTTAATTTTGCACCAATATTTCTTAGCTTTTGGGGCAGGTCCACCACATATGAAAGTAGGTTCCTTGAAGAAGCACTCTTTGACATGCCTCACAGCCCACAGCAGAGAGAGAGAACCATGTTCTAGACCAGAAATGTTGAGATACTAAATGAGTGCAAAATTTTCCTGCAATTTAGGCCTTGCAAGGAAACTGATACGAGGAGGAAAGCCAGTTTGGTGTAGTTAGTTAAGATGCTGGACTAGAAATCAGGAGACAGTGAGTTCTAGTTCTGCCTTAGCTATGCAAGCCAGCAGGGTAACTTTGGGCCAATTACCAGGAGACGGTGAGTTCTAGTTCTGCCTTAGCCATGAAAGCGTGCAGGGTAACTTTGTGCCAATCCCCAGGAGACGGTGAGCTCTAGTTTCATTTCACAACTCTCTTGTTTAGCAACAGAAATGTAGGGCTCCATTGTGATCATCATTTGAGGACCATCTGTTTTCTAAATTTTCTAAAGCTTGCTGCTTTTGTGGATTTGCGCTATCACAGATTTTAAACGTCGTTTCAGACGAAGCAGACACTTTTGTTCCTCGGGAATACAATCTGCTTACTTTCCGTTTTCCTTTCTGCTTGCACTCTTCCCATCTCTTGAATTTATATCCAGGCGCTGGCCTAAATCTATTCCTTCCCATAAATCCTCCGTTCATTGATCTCCTTTGTCTTTGCATTTTCAGACAAAGGGGTGACGACTTGGGAATGGACTAAACTCCACTTGCAGAACGGAGCTGAGGCGCCTTCCCTTCATCTGCTTGTGAGGCTTTGGAT